CTATATACAAAATCAGGATTAGTTATTAAGACTTAGTCATAATATAAACAATCTTTTGCACTTGTAAGATTTAAAAAAAAAAAATTATTCTTAAACCCAAACATATATGCATATATTTATGTAAATGAATTACTCCTTTCAAAAATCAACTTCCTTACTAAATCTTCTAAATAATTATAATTTTAATTTTTATCCGCAAATTTAATTCTCTGCTAAGTATATATAGCTTGTACCACAATAGTCAATATTTCTCCACAAGTGTATAATTACAAAGAATCCAATATTGTTGCTAAAAACTATAACCACAAATAATCACTTTGACAATTGAGAAAATTCTTTGCACTTCAAATAGAAATATAATGATCATAGTTCAAATTAACTATACAACTTCCAACTTGCATCATCAAACCTTAAATACTTTTTCAATAAAAATGTAAAACCAAATCAAGGGAATATCCTTATTTACATATATAAAATTATTTACCGTAATTATAATATTTTGAACTAAATCCTTCAAAATAAATTCTCAAAAAGTATAACTCATAAATAATTAGTTTAAAGTTTCAAAATATCATTTCATTCCAACTATAATATTCTATACTTTTAATTCCAACAATGTACACTTCTATTTCAATCTTAATTATGATTAAAGATTCACTTAACACTCATCAAATAACTTCAAAACCTTATTAAGTCAAAGGTTCTTTTCTCTAACCCATAGGATCTCTAATGATTAAATTATTCTCTTTGATAATCTTTTAACTCATAAAATATGTCTCATTATAAGTCGCATAAAAAATCTCTTTAACTTATAAAATCATATTATATCAAAGTAATTAAAATTTCTTTTAACTATAAAATCCAAAAACAATATGTAAATATCAACCAAAATAATTACACCCAAAATTCATTGAATCATTGATTTCTTAAAATTTATTGAAATCATAACTATGCTCGTATAATATCTTTTTCAATCATATGATCATAAATTATGTTCTTAGACCATCATTGCTAATCTGATTATCATAATTTAACATTTTAGAAAATCTTCAAAAATTATAGCATAAGTTTTTAGAAAATCTTTAAAATAATAATATAAGCTTTTAAAAATCTTCTAAAGATCACAACTTGAGCTTTGATACCACTTTATACCATGTCCTGAGAATGAGACGCAACACGGTTATATTACCTTGGAGTAAAATCTCAAAGTAATACAAAACCTTCCCTTTTATTCACTCTAAACTTCTTAAATAAACTGATGATAAATCTATATATCAAAATACAAAAAATATACATATATATATGTTCAAAAACAAGCAAAGTGTGTGAGATTTTACTTACCTTCTTTTGGTTTTACCATTTAGTTTATCCCCTTAAACAATTAACAACCTATTCAAGATCATTTCAACATATAAAAAATTAATCAACCTTTTTTGAAATCATTTAGACTAAAAACAACTAAGTTATACAATGGTTAACTCAACCACCTAATTCTTGCAGCCTGCACTACTTTCACTAAAATGACCATATCTCAAGATATACAACTTGAAATTAAAATCTTTTTAATTCATTAGAAGCTAGACTTGATAACCTTTCTAACCATTTATACCCCATCTTGTAATTCCTTGTAGTTTAATAGTAATAAATTTTGGAATCCACATTATATGTTGCTGTCATATAGCATATATACCTTCTAATAAAAATTATATATTTATTCATAGTAGACTCCAAATTTGTTTCATTAGAAGGTAGACTTAATAACTTTTTCAGACATGTATGGCTCAATTCTTAATTTCTTCTATAAAATTTAAGACAATTTTTGTAATTCAACCTGATATTGATGCCATACAACCTACATATCCTTAAGCAAAAATTAGACAACTCTTCATAAAAAGCTTGGATTCGACTTCCATTTCTTTTATTAGAAAGTAGATTTAACATGCTTTTCAACAATGTACAATAATCATAGCAATATCTAATCTCTTGATATAAAATATTTTTTTAATCCACAATTGTCGATAATAGCATTTTATTTAAAAACAAAATTTTTCCTTTAACCTTTAAAAATCTAAATCCTCACTTTCAGCCTTTAAAATTTACTGAATAATCATCATTAAATCGTAATAACATGAATTAAATAAAACACAGTAATTTAACCAAATCAATATTGAATATTAATGAAAGATTTCATAATTTTTCTTGATTTTTCTCTCATAACTTAAACTCCAAATAATAGCTATTAATATGACATTTTTCTTAAGTAAAAAGATGACATATACTCACATTTAGAGAATTAATCAGATTGCAACCTCTGATTTCGAATATCCAACTTTGTTTTTCATTTTTTCTAACCCTAAGCAAGATAAGTAAAAAGAGCTCTATTTTTTTTTTCTATTTTATGATAATTAGGTTTTCTCTTCTAAATGCATCTGTCATGTTTCTTTAATAATTAATCTCTTAATAAATTAATTGATTTTGATAAAAATCTAGCTCAATTATCATTTGAACTAGGGTACTACAAAACTGGCATTACCAACCATGATCGAGCCCAATATTAAGCCATGCTGAATCAGTATAGCCATCAAGCACATGTTGCCATCTTTTACGTCAACGTGTTCCCAACAATTTGTAAACAGTGATTCTATGATATATTCAACGACCATTGCTCACTAAATCATGTAAGGCCAATCTTAGTTATTTATTCTTTCTGTATTACTCATGATTAATTTTTAATCAATTTAAATTTATAAATAAATCTATAAAAGTATAAGTAATTTATAAACAAATTATTCGTGATTAATTTATCAATCAATTCTAATTTCAATGTTTTTGTGATCAATTTATTTTTAATTTTTTTTTTATATTCTGCTAACTATTGAATTTAAATAAAATGGTAAGAACAAAAAGTCAAAAGAAATGTTATTATACTGATTTTAATATTATCATATTACATTAATTAATGTTTCCACTTATATTAATAAAATAGTAAGGAGACCAAAGCACATTATTAGCTCAAACAAGAAAACACATAGTTTGATGATCAGCACCACAAGATACTAAGGAAGAAGCGGAACTCAGGCTCAACATGCTAATCACCAAAACGGCAACGCAAAGCCTCTAAAATAGCAGCAGATGTGAATCAATCTTGGAAGGTGGAAAGACAAATCCTGATAGGAAGAAAAGACTTGAAGTTGTTTACAAGTGCATGAAACTGAGAGGCTCTTGTTTCATGCCATCTCCTATATGGAATAACAAAAGCTTCAACACTTTGCTTTTTACTTGACAACACCCAGAGGAGCAGGTTACCAATTGTTCTCTTTTTGATACTTTGTCTTATTCATCATATGAAACAAAACCTTCGGCATGAATCAGGAAAAGAAAAAGAAAGATTGGAGGTATCGATCTCCATGAACCAAACCCCTTGTATGAAGCAGAATATAATTTTTGGATCCCCGTTGAGGTCGCAGAATGCATTATGCGCAATCCATAAACTTTCCATCAATTTACATTCCAATTTCAGCATATCAAAGTGCAATAGGAACTTTGGCTGCCAAAATTGTGGTACAATTCAATGCCAAAAACATTAGCATGGAAAAATTGAGCTAAATGGTTAAGCAATAATGAACTGGATGTACCACTACTAGAAATGCAGAAAAACCTCGGCATGTAAGAAAATATAGCCTGCAAGAAGTAGTAAACTTCACTTTCTTTACCCAAATTAACGCTGCTTTTTGCTGATGTAAAGGCTTCAAAATAGAGCGAGAACACATAAGCCTCCAACAGCACTCAAAATGAAGTATGTCTGGTCAATACACAAAGAACATTCTTGTTTAGCCTCCAATCCATTTATATTACTAATTACAGTATTACTTTATCGGATGGAAAAGCAGTAGGAATAATCTACTTGTCTAATGTTATGATCAGCAGATGTCCATTCATTAGTAGCGTAGGCTATGGAGTAGACTTCCTGCTGTTGATTTCATGTCTCCAAAGGAGATGTTTATGCATTTGTGCTCAAGATGTGGACGTAGGAGATAAAGCAAATTGGTTCAAGCAATCTGTATATCTATGTTCATGATTGAAATATAGGCATAAATGCTTGCAATTAAAATCTTCAAACCTTTTCAAACATTTCATACAGTATTCCATCAAGTTCAAGCATTTTATAAACCTCGCATTTTCCAAATGATCAAAGGATGATTTGGTCCCAGGCACACCTTTGATCTAACTAACTAGTGCATTTGTCCATTTCTCAGTCAATCTGCTTCAGATCATCACTTTTTACCAACGTATTACTTATCAAATAAAAATTTTCTTTGAATCATCCATTCCTGAAGTTTCAAATTTTACCAACATGTAATTAACTTGGAACAAGGTCAAAAGGCTTTAATATTCAAAAGATCAATATATTTTAGGATCAAAATAAAATTATAAAACTATGGAAAGAACAAGATGGATCACTATATCTATCTCTATCCTTTTGTATCTTTCAGATTCCATGGTCCAATCCATCAGCTTATTATCATCTCATTGTAGCAATCGGAAGATGTAACCAAATTTAACCATGCATCCTTATCCCAAGTGCAGTAGCAGAATGACCGAGCAAATAGAAATCACCTTAAGACACTGATTCCTGGAGTTTCAAATGTAGACCCGTATCTCATTGATTTAATTAAGACGAGACCAAAAAGTGTAACTCACTGAAACAGAGCACTATATTTGGGGTAAGCAGAAGTACACATAAGAAATCACCAATCATCGGAGTAAATATTCATGCTTGCGTTATTGATTTCTCAAATTACTGTGATACAATAATGAAAGATTGAAACAAGACATATATATTTAACAAAAATTTGCCATATCACTTTATATTAGGGGATCGTCATGTAACTCCTCAACTTATCATCATACTTACAATTTAGACATTAATAAGAAAAAATTATTTGCATTCTCCGTAAGGACATTAATCAACAGAACTCAATTACGACTAAGAGATCAGATCAAAATCGAATCAACTGGGCATCTGGTATCGGCACAGGGCACAAGTGACTGGTCTCCAACCAGTTAACGATGCAATCATCATGATAAACATGTCCACAAGGCATCGAAGCAGCCTTGTCATCATCGGAGAACTCATCGAAACGGATCATACACTCATTCTTTGAACTTAAACCATCGAGTAATCTCCTCTTCTTGAAGGGTAGGCGACCTTCATCACCCCATTTAAACCGTTTCAATGCTTGAATAGATGAATTACTAGCAGGCTTGAAATTCAATGTACTCAGTGACTCATTAATGGCCTAACCAACTTCATCATCAATCAGCTCTTGATCAACCTCATCATCGGTTACCATCTGATCAAACTCATCATCAGTCAACAGCTGATCAACTTCATCATCTGTCAACTCCTGATCAATCTCATCATCAGTCAACTACGGATCAATATCATCATCGGTGATCACCTCCTGATCAATCTCACTACCGGTAACCTCTTGATCAACCTCATTATCAGTCTCCTTGACAACCACTTCCAGTATCAATTTATTATTTTACGTTCAAGATTTACGGGGTCACTATCAATTTCCTGCGCGAAAGACAAGATATCAGGAACAATGACAGTTTGAATGAACTGTAGAGATGCACCCGTGATTGCAAACATGGAAAGTACCATGTTTGGACCGTACTCTTCAGATAAAAGCATGCCACGTCGATACATGAGGGATTGATTAAAAGTTTCTAAGGTTGTTTCTAAGTTAAGAGATGAAACATAACGAAACCTTAATTCTAGGTTGAAAAGATCACATGGGATATAAGAACAATGTTGTTCTAAACGATTATCAATTTCTTGGCCAATCTCGATGGTGTCAATGGAAGCCATGGCAACGTGTTGGAATTACTTCTCTGGGTTTCGGTTGTGTTTTGATCAGAATCGGGTAAACGACTATTATTCTTGATGAAATTTCGAGGGTTTTATAAGGATTTTGGTATGATGAAAATCACCGATTCTACTCTTATAAGCATGTTTGTACCAAAAATGAAAATATAACTTATGTCAATGTAGGTTCCTTTTATTTAACCCCTTTTCTGGTTACTTCCTTTCCTCCTAATAGAAGTTTAGGATTATATATGTGATATAGGTGTATGATTTCTACATCATAATGCAATACAATATGTTTTGAATTCTTTATGGGTTTTGTCGTTTTATCATATTGGAGTTTGATGAGTTGGCAAGTGAAAAAACAGGTTCTTATTAGAGTTGAAGTTGGAGCGCTTTTAAGGATTCTGATGAGGTTTGGAAAGCCAGAAATCCCCCACTCCTATATGCTGATTGTAACAAATTAAGATGTAAAAAACTGATCCTTTTTATTTATTAAGCCGTTTCTCTTTGCGTTCTGGGGTCACCTTCCTTCCTTTATTTACCCAAACTGAGTCGAAGGTTGCAATAATGTAATTCTCACCAAGGAGTATTCCACTCAGTATAGGGTGCGAAAATTTGCTGTATTGCATGTTTCAACAACAATTATTACTCAATGTCACTCATATATAGTTTTTATTATTAATAATTAATGTTATGATTCAATATAATTATTCAAAATTTATACACTAATCTATAAAATATAAATAAATAAAACAATCCTACGGTTTTATGTTTAATTTCGATTTTTAATTCAATAAATCAATTAGATTACTTATAAGTAAATCGAACCGTTTAATATTTTATTTTTTTAATGTAAAAAATCATAAATCATTTTTTCCCCTATGCCTCATGTACGAACATTGTAAAAAAAAAAGTTGAAATTTGTCTGTAAATGAAAACAAGTATTTTTGATTAAGTTCAAGGGTTTATGAGGATTTTGATATGAAGAAATCACCGACTCTACTATTATAAGTTAGATTACAATAAAGATAAAATAATAACTTGATGTTCAAGTCAGTTCCTTTTTATTTAACACATTTTCTTCGTTATTTCTTTTCCATTCTTCTTTGTAACTCTTTATCTATTAGAATTTAGACTTATATTTATCACAGGTTTTAGTAATTTACTCCATTATGTTACATTAAATAGATATGACAAAATTGCTTATGATACAATACAATACAACCCATCATAATTTATATCAATATGATCATGCTATAGCAATGGATCATGCCGAGAACTACTCTTATCATACTATCAAGTATGATCATGATTTTTTGAATTATGAACTAGCACAACATGATTCATGATGGATGCCGACTTATATGTGATAAAAAATTAGTTTTTTTATCAAACCTTTTTAGTTTTAATCTTCATTATCTTAAATTTTTTATTAGACTTGTCAAACTACATTCAAAACTTTTAAAAAGATTTTTTTTTTTTATATTTTGTCAATAATAATTAGTTCAAAATAAAAAAGAGTTGAAAAGTGAAAACATTTGATCAGAAGAGATTTTATTTTCAAATTGATTTCTTTGCCACATTTTAAATTTGGATTTATTTTCAAGGTGATGAAAATATTTATGCCAGTGAACAGATGAATGTAATTTGGGAACAGATGAATTCTAACAACACAAATTTTAACTTCAAAAGAGTGATGCAGTTCCAAACACAACTAATTCAACATAGTATATTAGTATGGCTTTTGAAAAGCAAGAAAACTTTGAATTCGTACTTTTTTTTCCTATTGCTTTTCAGTACCGAAAGCGAGAATAAAAGTACCAAGTTTTTTTTTCTTTGGCCCTTGAATACCTGGTATTGATGAATACCTTAATTCCAGGTTGAATATCCTTGCCTGTATGTCCGAATGACTTGCTGAAAAGATTGGTAGTATTTGATAGCTATGATCAACATTCTTGTGATACAGCGAACGACTTTTCTGAAAGCAGCTAACTTCAAATTTCCCATGTAGCGCGTTTAAGTTATGGTTTTTGTTACCAAATGCTTACAAGGAGTATGCAATATGTCATCTTCGATCTCTGCTTTTGCAAAATTAATTTCTTTTTCTATTTATCTGTAATATGGTTTCTCAAGACTTAAATATTGAAACCATGCTGGTGGCTATTATTTTACAGTGTTTCTCTGAACTATTGGTGTTTGATTAGCAGAAATGTATGATATCTATCAACCCTACTTGTCACTAATATTTCTGTACTACTTTTAATGCTAATCAATACAGGTCTTGAACAAGATCTGCGACTTGTTATTGGCCAGCAAGAACGTATGATTAAGGGGGCAAATGTCTGGAATGATAAGCTAGAAGTGAGGGTACATTGCTTGGAGAGATACCGTTAAACGAGGAGCTAAACAATTACCCTTCAGCAAACCTATGTAAATTTTAACTCTAGCAACCGATTTGACATCCCTTCTCACATTATGTGGACCGACTTTGGCAGTCTCAAACATGCTAGTACCGTAATCAAAGAAATTTTAAGGTTTGCATTGGCACATTGAGGACAAGCAAGGAGATTCAGCGGATAACAACCAAGGTTGGCATTGGTACGAGTTGTTTGTCCACACACAAGCCCTTGTAAAATATAGAAACTGTACAGTGCTTTTATAGTTTTTATGTACAGTCCAAATCCAATCCCCCTTTTTTTTTTTTTCTCCTTTTATAACCCCAGACCAGAGAAATGATAAAAAAAATAATTTTTTTCTTTAGAACTTAGAAGCCAATGTTAATCTCTAGTCCTGCGGCAGCAAAGATCCTTGTACTATAATAACTGATGTTTAATGAAAATTTCCAAGATTTGCATTTGACTTTCTTGAATTCATCACCTTTTTACGCCCTCAAGGTTCAAAAAATGCACATCACTTTTTCATCAAGCAGTTGGCTCAAATCCATTTCTATTACCATAAAGATACCAGCTGAAAACACTGAAGATAACCTGATATTTCTAGCAGAATCCTTAACAAATTTCAACTCCAGAAACTGTTTATTTATTGATAAGAGTCAAAGCATATAATTCAAATTGCATTTTTGTTGAAATTGTCACTTCTAACAGTTATTGATAGAAATTAGAAAGGAATCCTTTTCTTATGTCTTGCTCTCAAAGCAACCATTAATTTATTGACCCATTTCAATTTTCAGTAACATTTTCTACCCTAGGAAATGTAAAGCGTCTCAAATGGCAGCAGATGATGAATTAATATTGGGAGGTGTAAAAGACAAATTCTTAGGGAAGAAAAGCTTGCAGTAGTTACAATGCTCCAGACTGAGATGCTCTTTTCCAGGCCATCTCCAAATGGGAACAAATAAAAGCTTTAACACTTTCTCGTACACAAATAGGAGCAGCGTTGGCATTGTAATTGGTACTTTCCAGATAAAAGCTGCATTGATAGAATTGTCTCCTTTTGATGCTCTTCTTCATCATCATCAGAAAGAAAACCTCTGCCTGAACCAGGGAAGAAAAGCTGCACCTTAGTGAGAACACCTTAGTTCTCTCGAGGACATTAATCAACAACATACTAAAAGAATTGACTCAATTACTGGAAGATCATATGAAATCGAATAAATTGGACATCTGGTATCGGCATAGTGGATACAATTGACTGGTCTTCAACCACTTAACGATGCAATCATCATGGTAAACATGTCCACAAGGCATCGGGGCAACCTTGTCACCATCAAAGAATTCATTGAAACATATCGTACATTCATTCTTTCAACTCAAACCTTCGAGTAATCTCTTCTTCTTGAAGGGTAGGCAACCTTCATCATCCAATTTAAAGAGCTTGAAGGTTGAAAAAGAAGGTGGTTTCTCCCGGGAATTTAGAGAATATTTGGTGGATGAGATCTGAGACTGGGTTTCTGAGAAAGCAAGGACCTAAAGAAGGAGGAGAGTCGAGAGACAGAAACAGACCAACCAACTAAATAAGAGATCTCCGGGGTACAGTTACCAAGCCAGCAAGAAGGCAAGGCATAGAGTCAATCAACATAGCCAGGAATTGGCTATAGAGCATTGAATTCTTCTTGCCCAAGAAAAAAACACGTTCTTACCTAAGGTGCCTGTTAATGGGAGCTTTGCCGGGTACTTTTCCTTCATCCCTTGCCTTGCTTTTTTGCTCGGCCACTCTATTTTCTTAAGTAAGGTTTCACTGCTAGCAGGCTTGAAATTCAATGTTGATAGCAGTTGAAGCAACCAAGTATGGCATTTCTATTGCTACAACTTGTTCTGATTTTTTTTTTTTTTTGGTGTCAGTTTATTAGAGTTTAGGTAGCATAATGTATATGTTGTGGTGATCCACAAAATTTGGCAAACAACTTATGTAGTAATTAAGAGTTGTCAACCAAACTTTTGTATTTTTGAAGGTTATAAATGATGAAATGCAGTCTATGCTTTACGTGAAGTTTTTACAGCAACTTGAGTTAGTTTCTTTATTTTCTTGTTAATTCTTCATACACTTCATATCCTTCAATTGGTATCAGAGCCTTTGTAAGGTCTTAAAGGGCTTGTAAGCTATTGATTTTTTGAGTAAAAACCATCAAAACTTCAAATGGCCTTAAGCAGCTGCTTCTTGCCTCCATCTCTTGTCTTCTCTTGTGAAAATTATTAGATATGGGCTATAAAAATGAAAACATATCTAGGTGCCTTTGATTTGTGGTATGTGGTCGAGAATGAGAAGGAACCACCTCACTTGCCAGTAAATCCAACTATAAACCAAATAAAGAATTACAATGAAAAAAAATAAAGAGGTACAAGGCTAAAAGTTGCATTGAATCATCAATTTATGATGATATTTTCATCAGAATTATGGCTTGTGAAACTATAAAATAAGCTCAAGATATGCTCAAGGAAGAATTCTAAGGCAGTGACAGGACAAGGCAGATGCAAGTGCTAAACCTTAGGAAAGAATATGAAGTTTTAAAGATAAAAGAGTTTGAAAGCCTAAAGGAGTAC